CCTCACTCCCAGGGTCATTAACTCCTCATGTTCAGCCCTTCAATTATTTATCAGTAAATTTAGCCTGCCTTTCCCCYCAGGTACCATTTTCTGCTCTCAGCAGGGGATCAAACCTCCATTTTGGTTTTCATCAGCGCTCACGCCGGCAGCAATTAGGGCCGTAATGGTCCAACGACTCCCTTACGCAGCTCTCTGGATGTATGACCAGCTGAGAGGGTGGATGTATGTGCTTCGTTGAAGTCATCCTTAACTTTTAGAGTCAGTTCGAATAAAGATGGCCGCCATAGCTAAATGAACATCATGCCACACAAAAAAGACTAACCCACACAAATTTTATGAATATTGAGCTAAAACTTAGAGTGGCTGTAGCTGGAGCATATCCCCACCTTATATTTTGAGCGCTAAATGATTGACCTATTTGAATCGACTTTGTTAGCAAAATATCTGATGAACTAGTTGAAGGAATTTAATGAGACTTTCAATTTATTGGCCACTACAGCCAACTGGTCTTAGAAARCACAAAAATTACTACAACATAATTGCTTTTGTAGATCATGGATGGGCAACTGTTGGTGTGCCAATGAGGCCCCGCCTCTTTTTGGGACTTTTTTTTTTGGGAGGTGCACTATCTGTTTACAGATTTTCAAGACAAACCGATGTGTTTAGTCTGCTTAGAGCTGCTGTCTGYTATGAAGGATTTTAATATAAGTCACCACTACAACATGTTACACAAAGCTAAATATGTGAAGTTTATTGAAGTCGAAAGTGCATAAACAACTGAGAATTTTTACCAAAATCAGAACGGTACAGGGGTCTGACCTAAAGGCAACTTATGTTGTTGAACTTCAGCTCGCTAAAGTGTTTTTTTTTTTGTTTGCTTCAGACAATTTGTATTTATATTTATTAAACAAGAGTTGTACATTGAGCAAGAAATATATAAAATTACTGCTGGTTTAATAAACATATACTATATACAGTATACACAAACATTTATAAAATGAAAATTCTTCATCACATCCATTGAGCAACCTTTTAAGTTGCTGTTTTGTATTAAAAACATGAAAAACAGATTCAAATGAAGCTTACACAAAGTAATCTGTTTGTTGAAAACCGATTAATTTTAAGAGTTAACACAATTCAAGATGGCCGCCATGGCTAATCAAACTTAGCCTAGACAAAAAAAGGCTATAACTGTAGATTTTACAGATACTGAGCTAAATTTTGACATARTTGTAGCTAATAATAAGCTGAGAKCATCTCAATATCCYATGGATGTTTTATTWAATTTAAAACTTTGGCATAAAAGGCAACGTGTGATATGAATTTCTTTGAGATACAATGAGTTTTTCCATTTTTTAAAGAAATCTCTACAAGTTTGATATGTTCGATCGTTTGTTAGATTTTTTTATATTAATTAACTTTAACACAACATTGGGCTCTTTCGTCCACCGCTGGGGAAAGCTCAGAAGGGACGGCGAGCGCTCGTGACATCCCACTATGATTGGTCCGCTGTCGAGCTTCGACAAAAAGCTTTTTCAKACGTATTGTTTTCCTGTCACGGGACGACATTTGGATCCCAAACGTTTGCTGGAAGAGCCTCGGAAACAAAAGCGGATCATGGATGTTGACAGTAATTTCTAATCTCCCTCCAGATAAAGAGCGCCGTTTGTGGACGAGCAGCCAACCCCGTTATCAGCAAATGGAAAGACAGTTTAATGAATCCCCTTCTTGGTGTCGGTAACACTTTGTGAAATTGCGCCCACTTAAGAGCAAAACGCAGCAACCGTTTATTAACTCGCTGTCCTCTTTGTGGCGTGTGCCCACCTAACAGCTGTTTAGGCTTTCTAACTGTCTTTTTTGTTCCTTTTATAAGAGCCGAGCCGATCTGTTTACAGAGGATAAATGAAACAGGTGAAACTGGGATTTTATTTAATCAGAGCCGAAAATGCTGTTTTTGTTTTTCTGCAGAGAAAAAATGTTGAACAGAAATTTGCTTAAAGTGAAGCTACAAAGAACTTTGTTAAATTGAACATTTTTTAAAAAGCGACGTTTTAAACAAAAACTAGAAAAGCATGGGGTGAAAGCTAAAGTCTGAATAAAAAAGCAGAATACTGTCCTCAAACAGCTAAAAGCTAGCTAAAATTAGCAAAACAGAGGCTAAAAGTCAAAATTGGTAAAACACTGGTTAAAAGCTGAAAGCAACAAAAGGTTAATTAAAATAAACGAAATGCTAACTAAAAGTAAAGAACAGAGAAAAAAYATAGCAAAAGGAGCAAARCACAAGCTAAAWSYRTGAAGTGGCTGGAACCTAAAGTAGCAACAGGCTAGCTAAAATGAACAAAKTSATAGCTAAATGCTTGAAGTAGCAAAACACTAGCTCATATCAAAATAGACAAATGTAGCAAAAAAGCTAACTAAAACCTGAAAGAAGCAAAAATGCTAAAATCAAAAAGTAGCAAAATAGCTAAAAGCTAAACATAAGAATGACCAAAGCACAAGCTAAAAGCTTTAACTAGCTTAATTAGCAAAAGGCTAAAGTGAGCACATTGACAGATATAAGCTTAAAGTAGCAAAATGTAGCAAAGGGCTAAATAAATAAAKGGAAAGCGCTAGCTAAAAACTAAAACAAACAAAATGCTAACTAAACTATACATACAGACTAAAGTAGCAATGGGCTAGCTAAAGKGAGCTAAACATKAGCTAGTTAACYAAATTGACAACCTTCATTTAAARCTAAATAYAGCAAAAAAGTTATTTAGATAAAAGAAGCCAAAAAAGCTAGCTAAAAGCTAAATGTAGAAAAATGAGCAAGGCACAARCTTAAAGCTTGAAGCAGCRARCATTAGCTAGAAGCTAARAGTAGCAGAACTTGACTCTAGKATCTTATTTTTATTTATTTTAAACTCTTTTAACATGAACTTGTTTATGTTTGGTTGTTGGGTTTTGATGACACCACTCTTAGCAGGAACAGAGTCCCAAAGCTAAATATCACCAGGACACAAACGTCCCCGTCGGTTCAGTCAGGTTCTGAAAGTTAGCTCTTCGGCTGTTCCTTTGTTTAGCAGCAGAATTAGCACGTCGCTATTTTATTGTTTTAGCCTCTTTGTGCCTTGTTCTGTTTGAGATGTGCGTTATGTTTAACGTTCTGTTGAGGAGATTATCTCTGAGTGCTGAGCAGGTCGAGGTGTTCTGCCTCTGGAGCTTCAGACGTGGGAGGAAGACGTTTCATATATTTATATATTTATATATGATGCACTTCAGTAAGAACTGGTTCACAGTCAAACACTGTGAATGAAGCATATGGATTCTCTTCTAAAACTGTATAAAGCTGAACCTGAACCAGTAAAATATTCAATCAAAGGGTGCCCCCTGYTGGCAGGAAACGGTACACCTTCAGCAGAACAATGAAATGTATGACACATAATCTGCAGACGTTTTTATTAGATAACAGATCTTGACAGGTGAATTTATTTCTTGTCTCCAGTCTTTCCGTTCTCCTCTGTACCTCWAAGAAGGAAGTGACCTTTTGAATGTTTTCCCCCGTCTCTGTACTGTTAGCGACATATATCATGAACCACAGGATGGATTTGAATGAAATGTTTAGAAATTAATCACTGGATGAACACGTCTATGGCTGATTAACATTTTGGAGTCGATGCAATGTGAGATGGACGTCACAACTTTAGAAAACACAAAAATTACCATAAGTTAGAGACTTTTACAGATGCTGAACTAAAAAAAAAACATGTTTAAAGAGCAAACAGATCACACAAAATATCACTTTAAATAAGATGATTTTAGTCTAAAACTTGTCCACGAACGTCTGAAGAACATCTGAAACCGTCCCACTGCTCAGGTGTCGCACCGAGAGCCTCGGAACCCGCCTGATCCAAACCACCTAAAGCTGATGACCCCTCCTCCTCTTAACAACTGCCAGTCCTGCTAACCCGTTTAAAAAAGCAGAGTCCCCGCTGACAGCAGATCACTTCCTTYTCATTTGGGAGAAACCTCACTGATGTCCTCACAGCGAGCAGCGGCGTCCAGGGAGGACTTGTCTTTTACAGAGTGTCCAGGACTCTCGTTTGAATTTAGGCTCAACAGAGGAGGTCTTAGTGGTCTTAAAATTAGTAGAAGCTAATTTAGTGGAAGTTAACCAGCCCACTAACGGTTTCCAAAGTTAGCAAAAAAGCTAATATGCTAAGCTAGTTCGCTATCAGCAGGTTAGCGAGACTGTACCTTTAACTGGAAAACAAAGACTGAACAAGAGCGATGTGAGCTTTTATCCACCCTGAAGGTTAATTTTGGATCATTTCTGACACTCAGCACTTTTAAATGAAACCAGAGCGCGTTGACAGAGAGGAGGAAGTAGAAATGACTCAGCCTGAAACTGAAAATGATGATGGAGGACAAACATGTCAGCTTTAGCCTGTTAGCTTTTGCGTTAGCGTCTGAGATAATACATATATATATGATGATGTTCTCCTCTCTGGGAGATTAATGCCACTGACCCAACAAAACCAGCAAAATATTATATAATGATATTCTCTAAGTGGGAATTTCCTTCTTACAAGTCTTAAATTTAAACTGGAACTGCCCCTTCAGTGGGAATTCCCTGTTGGAAAGTGGGAAAGTTCATAATTATAAACGGCAGCTATTCACCACAGTGAGTAAAACTCTCATACTTTTACTTTTAATAGTATATTTTTTAGTATTTAGCTCACATTTAGTAAGTCGTACTCATAGTACTTTTCAGTGTTTAAAAGAAGATGTGTTAAAACKCTGTTTCTATGCAGGAAATACCAGGTAGAACTCAGTTATTGTTAGTGAAGCTCAGGAACGAGAGACAATCACCAAAGCTAATAACAGTTGGGAAGTTGAAGCATTTACAGCGCCCCCCACAGGACGGTGCTGGTATAAGGTTTAAGCCCCGCCCACAGGGGGCTGTAATATCACCCTACAGTTGTGAATTTAGTGTAAAAGACAGAAGGTTGTGGACTCACCGTGCAGGGCCTCCCTCTGCTCCAGCTCCTGCCTGAGCTGCTGCCGTTGCTCCTTCATGCGGCCCAGCTCCTGGCTGCTCCCCGAGCTGAGGCTCTGCAGCCTCTGGACCAGCGCCTCCAGCCGGTCCCGCTCCAGGTACACCGCCTTCATCTCGGCCTTCAGCTCCTTGGCGCTGCCGAAGTCGTTACCTGCGCCGGCAGACCACAGGCAGGACGTTACCACTCCGCCCATTAACAAAGCCTCCCCGACATTAACGTTTGTAATTAAGTGAGGCTAACGATGAGTGATGCAGGTAAATGAGGGGAATGAAGGGCGTGTAATGTAGCAGGGCTGGGGTTCGGAGCGGAGTGGAAAGTTACCAGAAATGGCCGCCAGTTTGGCTTCATGCAGAGCCAAAAGCTGCGTTTCAGTCTCGCTGACTTTCCTCCTCAGGCTGCTGCCCAGCCTCTGACTCATGACCACCTGGGGACAAGAAGAAGAAGAAACATGGATCTCACAGGAAGTGCTGCTCATTTCCTCTCTCTTGTGTTCTTTTACACTTGTTTTTAGATTTAAAGTGCCCGTGACATCAAATTTTTGTAATACATATGAATGCATTTTTGAAAAGATGTCACTGACAAAATATTGCAAAAGAAATTTCATGTTGCTGAGATGAGCAGTTGTTGAGATATTTGTCTGTGAAGTAACAGGAAGTGATGTCAAAGGGGAATRTCTGCATGTGAACAGAGCGTTGCTACAACAGCCAACAACCCAGACTGTAGAGAAGAATCTGATGTTTCTTAAGATTAATTTGAGCCTCTATCAGAGAGATGATGAAGAGTCAGAGTTCAAATATTGTTTCAATAAACAAAAACCAGTTTTTTTGTTAAAAAGTTCCCTTTGATGTCACTTCCTGTTTCACTTTGGCTGAACCAAGTTCAAAAGAAAAATATGGGTCAAATCGTATGTATTGTTCCAACTTTCTTAAATATAAAAATGTTTTCTTAGGCTTTTTGTATTTGAAGAATATGCACGTCACAGGCACTTTAACAGGTCTATTTCTGTCCTTCTGAGCTCGTCCTGCTCTGATAGCTTTTAAAAACTCTTTTATTAAATTATTTATTTCTTTTTACTCTCTTATTACTAATCTGAGCAATCACTCGCTCTGTTATTACCCATTTTRAACTTTTAAAATAATTCTGCTGTAATTGCACATCTGTGTTTCTTGTCTGCACTGTCATACTTTACAGTTGTTGGTCTGTTGAGATTGTTTTGCACTGAAAACAGGAAAATTCTGATTCCTAATGTCAGATTCTGATAGTCTGTCTATTTGACAGGCAGAAGGTAACATTTTAACCTGTGTCTGTTAGCAAAAATGGATTTCTACTCAACGTTAATGAAGAAATCTCAGTTTAAACCGTTAGCTTTTAGAGCCAACCTGATTCAAGATGGCCGCCMCTCCCTACTGAACTTAAACACAAAAACGGATATAACTCCCTGAATTTTGCAAACACTGAGCTGAAATGTGTTGTGGTAGTAGCTGAGAGTCATGCCCAACACATGCTCTGAGGTTTTGGGGAATATTGTATGAGATTAAGGAGATTAAAAAGAGTTTAATCTAGAACTCATGTAGTGCCTGTAGTTCTTTAATCTCAACCCTTAAAGTTCTACATAAAATCTCAGTAAAGCAACAGTTTCTTTTGAGGAATTTTATTTTATTTTATATTTTACAGATATTTTGATGCACTTTCTTCTCTGATCTGACAGGAGACAGATTTCAGAGGCAGAACGTCCCCCTCGGGGGGCATTTCTCCCACAGAAAACAGTCTCAAATAATTTCATTTCACACAATAACAAGAACTGGAAKAAACTCTGAAGTGCTTTTTTCTTTCCCCTCTTTTCACCCTGAAAACTGCAGAAACTCTGAGAGTGGCAATTTGTTTTTTTTTTTTTAAAAACATCAGGCTTTTTGTCAGTTGTTATAAAGTCGACGGAGACAGAATGATTCACTTTAAAGCCAGGAGTTATTTTCTCGCAGCAGGTGGTCTTCTCTAACACACGGTGGGCGTCTGAGAACCCAACTTTCCATTTGCAACATGAGACGTGAATCCCTCGTATCTGCGCTGAAAGTGTCGGCGTTTCTTTGAAGTGCAGTTTCTGCTTCATCCGGCGATTTAATGACGGGTTTCTAAAGAGCAGCGTGAAAATACCAGAGTCCACGCTGAGGAGCCGACACCTGCTGTTCTCCCTAAACTATTATTTCTTTTACATTTCTGCTGCCTTTAGCTGCTTCCAGCTGCAGAGATTCATATGGAACAGCCGAAGGGTTAGTGTTTCTAAAGAAAAGCAGATCACCAGTAGTGGGCAGAGTTCGACAAATCTATTAATCCACTAATGATGGAACTAGCTTCTCATTTAGCGGATTAGCTTTTTGCTCACTTTAGAAACAGTTACTGGACTAAATAACTTCCACTCAATTGGCTTCCATTAATTTTAAGTCCACTTAAAAACTACAAGCGTAAAACTGTTCTATTTATACACCATTTATCCTGAATTAAATCAATACAACATTAACATATTTGCGTCAGTCTCACCACTCTACAACTGGTCTTATCGGTTAGCGCTAGCTTCCACTAATGTTTATTTTTTTAGTGAATTAGCAACAGCAGACTGACAAGTGGTAACGGGAGCTCAGCAGACACGGGTTTTCACCGGGTGTTTGCTAGTTTTTTTCTGCCGATAGCCTGAAGGAGTCGCAGGGCGGGCCGGGGGGATGGCGGAGGTCTGCTCTATGTTGAGAAAGCTCGGTTAGGAGACACAGCCCAAAAGGCGGTTCTAGTCCCAACCAGTCGTTTTAGCTCCCCTGCCTGGCTGCCTCAGGACACTACAGGATTTCTCAAACATGCATGAATGAGTCAAAGTAAGACTCTGGGCTTGTTTTTGATGAGAGGATAACACTATAACTTGATTTAAAAAAAAGTTGATTGTACTTGATATTGCGCCTTTAAGCATTACCAGAGCTAATATTCTTGTTAGCATTAGCAGAGCTAATATTCTTGTTAGCATTAGCAGAGCTAAAATTCTTGTTAAGCATTAGCAGAGCTACGATTCTTGTTTAGCATTAGCAGAGCTAAGATTCTTGTTTAGTGTTAACAGAGCTAACATTCTAGTTTAGTGGTTTAGCGTTAGCGGAACTAATATTCTTGTTTAGTGGTTTAGCATTAGCAGAGCTAAGATTCTTGTTTAGCGTTAGCAGCGCTAAGATTCTTGTTTAGTGTTAACAGAGCTAACATTCTAGTTTAGTGGTTTAGCGTTAGCGGAGCTAATATTCTTGTTTAGTGGTTTAGCATTAGCAGAGCTAAGATTCTTGTTTAGCGTTAGCAGCGCTAAGATTCTTGTTTAGCGTTAGCAGAGCTACGATTTTTGTTTAGCATTAGCAGAGCTAAGATTCTTGTTTAGCAGTTTAGCATTAGCAAAGCTAAGATTATTGTTTAGTAGTTCAGCGTTAGTAGAGCTAAGATTATTGTTTAGTAGTTCAGCGTTAGTAGAGCTAAGATTCTTGTTTAGTGTTAACAGAGCTAACATTCTAGTTTAGTGGTTTAGCGTTAGCGGAACTAATATTCTTGTTTAGTGGTTTAGCATTAGCAGAGCTAAGATTCTTGTTTAGCGTTAGCAGCGCTAAGATTCTTGTTTAGCGTTAGCAGAGCTACGATTTTTGTTTAGCGTTAGCAGAGCTAAGATTCTTGTTTAGCATTAGCAGAACTACGATTCTTATTTAGTGGTTTAACGTTACTAGAGCTAAGATTCTTATTTAGCAGTTTAGCATAAGTGAAGCTAATATTCTTGTTTAGCGTTAGCAGAGCTAATATTCTTGTTTAGTGGTTTAGTGTTAGTAGAGCTAATATTCTTGTTTAGTGGTTTAGCATTAGCAGAGCTAAGATTCTTGTTTAGCATTAGCAGAGCTAAGATTCTTGTTTAGCATTAGCAGAGCTAAGATTCTTGTTTAGCA